AGATACCTAGTATTTTTAACTTGACAAAGTTGTTTCTATTAGTTATACAGGCATTTAGGGAGGTTGAGTTTATCGACGGAAATTGGATCACATTATAACATTACTTGTATCATTTAAAAGTGCTTTGTGTGTTCACCGTGGTTTGCGTTAGACTGATGAGTTTTAATCGCATAATATTAATTCAAGACGTTGCTCTCACAACTAAATATGCTATTAAATAGTTGTCTTGGATCCGTTTATTTTTCTTAGGCATCTAGGGGAAAAAATCATTTAACGTTTGCCGAGGTCAAGTGCAATGCGACTTTTGGGGATGGATTTGGCCTACAGTGAAAGAATTTGTGTTACTCCCTTTTTCAGTTTTTGGTGTTAATCGGCAGTTAGTCCCGGTGAAGCATTTACGTCCGCTGTTCCAGTCAAGTAGTTTTCTCAAGAATGTTCCTGCTGAATTGTTTGAAGAACATAGCTTCATAATACTCAATAAACTTTTATTGAAGATTTGTTTCAGACCACCAATTACGTTTTTATTTTTTTGCCCCTCCTAGCCTATTACTTAACAGAATATTTCTGCTAACCCGTACGAAGTTATTTTTTTACCAAGTAAACACGTTTTTAACAACTTTTTCTTGACCGGAAAAAGGCGCATTAACATTGAGAGAGTTCTCGCAACAGGTACATTAGTCCTTATTCTATCGGACCAAACGCGTCCCGGGTGCCAGGCTCTGATATCTCAAAGTTCAGACAAATTACTTGGCTGCCAATAAACTTTAGGGACATGTCAACCAATTTGGCGTTCGAATTCACATTCGCCTTTCTTTTTGTCAGTTTGAGGGAACCAAAATAAATGTTATACTTTAAGATAGTACAAGAGAAATATGCCTATGTTTTAAGAAACATGAAATAAAATGTGAATAACTTAAATGGCAAGGGAAATATAAGGCAATGTGTACTAATTTTGCTGTACGAGGTCAGTTGGAAGTACCGGCTTTTGACACGAAAGGAAAATGGGTTCTGTATGACCGTGGCAAAAACTAATCACTGGCCGGATCGGATTTTAATTAATCTAAAACTATTGTCATAACGAACAATAAAAATCCTAAAAACAAAGAAAATTTTCGTTTTAAAAAAAATTAGCAAACTATGCCAACAACGCAAATGTTGTTAGATTATGTTTACTGAATGGCAATCTAGGCTAGTGTCCGTTTGTTCATGAAACACTTGTTTTTTGCCAAACGTTTGGACGTCTTCGAAAGAAAAATATTCTGCATGTATTTATCGCGAAATTGGCCTAACTGACCCAATGGCGCCGATAGGCGTCACAGAAAACCCCTTTAGATTTTCATAGACAAGCCGGTTGAGTGGGCCCATGTTAGGAGAGTAAGGAAGCCGTGAACAAACAAAGTCTAGTTTGATTCAAAACAGTCTGCATCAAGTGTGAGGCGCCAATTTTTCCTGTTGGACCACACAGTTCTTGCGCCGCGTAGCTTCGTGTAGTGACGGAGTACATCCCTGTAGTAGTCTTTGGCGATTGACCCTGTGGTGGTACAAACACCACAGAAGTCTAAAAGGGAGTCAACTCTGACGTTGCTTGCGCTCTGACACTTCTTTGTCTGCAACATTGGGAATGCTGTCCACTTGTGACGAACTGATTTTGTTTCCGCGGTCGTACCGTCTGCCAGAACTCTCCCAGTGATTATGGTGTTCATTAATCAGGCATGTTCTGTGAGGACGCGTGGCGCTTAGTGCGCCAAACAGTACGTAGCGAGCGTGGCACCTCCATTGAATGACGGAAATGCTATTTTCAAAATTCAAAAGACGAAATATAAAATGTAAAGAATTCGAATGTTCTTGTTTCTAAAACTTAGTGTTTTCTGTATTTAAATTTTGTCTGAAACGAGACCATCATCACTTGCTTACCGCAAAAAATTATTATTTTCCCGAAAAAAAATTGAACATGACCTTAGTTGAAGTGTTTTTATGAAACACATTTCGTTTTTTGAAATTATCGTCATAATGAAGACCCCTAAAAAATGGGAATTTTTGCAATTTTCGAAAGCATCGGTATTTTCCCAGAATGAGCCCTGCCACCATTCTCTTAAGGGCTTAAAATTGTAGGAAAATTCAATTACACTGACATAGACGATTTACATTATCGATTAACGTGTAAGCATTGTGATTTACGTGATTCGATTTCTAGGCTGTAAACGATATTTGATCGTGTTTAATATAGAATTTACGCTAGAAGCCATTTTCCAAAAACAGGAAAATCCAAAACGCATTTTGTAAAATTGAACTTTTTTGATGGTTTTGGGCGGAAGGAAATTTAAAAAATGTGAAATCATAGCGCGATGCGACTATGCTTCCTGAATCCAACGCCCCCGAATCAATCGTCTAAATCGGATGAATAGGGTGACGTAAAGTGAAATTGGTAAAATTGCATGTAAATTTGGTAAAATAGCAGTGTCCCCTATGCCTGCCGCCGGCCACCGCTAGCGCACGGGTACCTGTTGTGGACAGCTGCAGGACGGCTGTATTGCGGTAGACAAAGCCGAGACTGGCGGTTCACGTGTGACCCCGACTGGGTTTCGTCAAATAATGCTTTCGACTACTTTCTGCCTTACAATATGAGTTTTTATTTCTCGAATATACGTAACTGGACAGGATATGAAGTAATCTAAGTGGTATGGGAAATTTACGTAAAAGCTGTGGAAAATCGATTTTCGAGATTTCAACGGAAATCTCTTTTTTGGGCCCCCCTGGTACCGAAGAGGCTTTTTTTTTAGACGCCCGTCCCATCTGCCCAGTTAGCACCTAAACTATTCGTTAGAACTGGATACTTTGACTGTGCCCGGTTTGAGCTGTGTCTCAGTCATTGGAGCTTCGAAAATAAATTCCTCGACGATCTGGCCTGACTGAAAGCCTTTCTGCTAGTTGAAGAACGTTCTTTAAAAGTTTGGGAGCTACTTTATAGAAGCTCCTGGGGACATTTTTCAAAAATGCCTGCAAAGTTTTGCTTCTCTAGTTTCTTGTAAGAATAGATCTGAAGTACACTTCCAATGATTTTTTACTGTTGAACTTTAGAAGTTTAGAAAAGTTACAAAAGTCTGAATTTTTGTCAATGACTCCTCACAACAACAAGTATTATAGATAGGTTTTTCCGTC